GTACGCGGAGCAATCTGTAGAGCTGGAAGCTGAGAACTGGCGACTTTGTAGTACAACTTTAGTGCGCGGAGCAATCTGTGCAGCTAGAAGCTGAGAACTGGCGACTGTGTAGTACAACTGCAGTACGCGGAGCATCTGGGGAGCTGGAAGATGAGAACTGGCCACTTTGTAGTACACATGTAATACGCGGAGGAGTCAGCTCTCGCTGCTGAGTCAGCTCTCGCTATAGCCATCTCTCGCGGCTGAGTCATCTCTCGCGACTCAGTTATCTCTCGCTGCTGAGTCATCTCTCGCGGCGTGCAGGTTTGGCACAGTTCATACTGATAGTATTTGGTTGCATTTATGCAGGACAGGACATTCAACTGCTGGTCAATACACCACTCATCATACACCACTCAACATACACCACTCGTCATACACCCCTCTTGTCGTGGCAAAAATACAACCCAGTACGCTGTTGTGAGCTGCTGATCCTGCAGGGGGCACACACCTTACACACGTGGAATCCCGTGGGTCAAAAGTCCGGAGCGCGTGCGTTTGACTGGAGGACGCGCATGTTGTAGAGAACGTGGACACTCGAATAGGTCAATTTCTTCTTATATGAAACTTCCGCCGCCGGCTTGCCCGGGAACTACTTGTATGATATGTATGTTTTACTGCCTACCAAGTTCTTTAGCGGACAATGTGAAGGTTGCAAAAACGGCTGGCAACCCTGCAAAGCAAACTAGAGTAATCCAACAGTTGAGCGAAGTGCTGCTGCGGGCATGGCAGGATCATGTTGCAGACTGATTCATCCAGTAGGGCAGGAAAGCAGGAACTGTCATTGAGGAGTTCAGACTTGCACCACGTGCCAGCGCTTGCATAGTATGTTGTGAGAAGAAATCGTTCTTGTCCTGCGTTGGATCAGCGCATATTGTTTTTCTTGGCCTACACCGAATTCTAAGACCGTTTGCCCTGTTGGCGCAAGAACGGCTAGTTGGCGGTAGTTTCAGCCATGTGTGCGTGCAAAATGGCCCACTTTGGGATATGCACCCAAATGCGCTTGGCTCTTGCTCAGTTTGTGAATGTTTGTATGGTGGCCTTGCTTCAAGAGCTCGCAGTCTCAGGTGTGTATGGCTCAGAAATGCAACAAAGGCAGGTCCTGACATGACAGCAGCCCCTAGATCACATATGCTTAAACAGTTTTGTATGTAGATGCAAGCTCCGAAAATACATTTAGATGCACATGTTTCCATTGAAAGGAACAACAACACAGAGACAGACACATATTTTCTATCCTGCCACCCACCGGGATGGGCAGAAAGGTATCACGCTCCGCAGTAACTGCCGCCGATGTCAATGTACGAGGTCTCGACTCAGGAACTCTAGGGCGCAGCATTAGCCAGTGTTTGTCGGTGAAAGGCTTTTGCGTCATAGATCCTGAAGTAGACGATGAGTACCTTGACAATGTGCTCGGCGACATTTCATCAGTGGACGAGCAGGGTAGATTTGCATTTGTACCGGCACAGGTGGTGGAGGGACTGCTGGGAAAAGCAGGTTCCTTTCGTGTGGCAGACATTGGAGTGTCCTCAGAAGATGCGTATGCATCCATCTACACAGAGAGCTTTGTGAGAGATGGTTCCGCCCTTCAGTACTTCGACGCAGAATTCACTCGATATGCCAGCTTGCTGTCGCCCCACCTTGAGCGCGCTAAGATAGAAGTCACTACAAGGTCAACCGCACTGCTGCATGAGGCATCAAAGCCCAAAGGGGACGGCCCAGCGCTCACCGAAGAGATTTGCATCAAGTGGCTAAAGCTCTTTTGTAGCCACAGGCAGGGTTGCGAAACATGGTGCTCTAATACTTGCTTAGGCATAGGAACTCTACAGTACAGCCATAGTCCACCAGAGTTTAAGTAATTTATTCCGGACACACCGGCAGAACCCTGTTTGCAGGCTCATTTGCATTTGGTGCTTGGGCCCTGAGAGAGGCGACTTGGAGCTCCAGCCGTGGGCTGAAGTGGCAGAACCCATGAAGGTCACAATGAAGCCAGGGCGCCTTGTGATCGCTCGTGCAGATGCCATGTACCATCGGCTCTCTTCAGTGGGTTCCACTTATTGCTTGACGTGCTTTTACAGCAACCTCGGTGGCCGGCAGGATCCAGTCAGCCCCTCAGGTCTTGCCTTGAAGCAGTGGGCTGACGATCGCATGGCTAGGTACAAGCAGAGTAGCCTGCAGGAGAAAAGGTACATGGAAATGCCTCGTGACTGGGAAGAGAAGGTGAATCGAGAAAAGATCAATACGCAGCGGGTGGCTCTCCGGACTACCTGTGTGAAGGAGCCTGGCACGGAAGATCCGCTGGCTTGGGCGTTGGCCTTCAATTCTGGCCCGGACTATGCGCTGCGCGTGCCGATGATGAGATGGCAACATGATCTTTACTTTGATGAGGATCCAGAGTCCTTCAAGCGTGGCAAAACCGATTGCCAGCATGGAGTCTACATTGAGGGCATTGAGCTCTTTGACTGCATGGCATTCAGAATTTCCAGGGCTGAAGCCTCAGGCATGGATCCTGGTCATCGGCTGACGCTAGAGACTGGCTACGAGGCTTTAGTCCGCGATGGCTACAAAGCAAACACCTTGATGAACAGTCGCGGGGGAGTTTATGTTGCCAACCCTCCTCCATCTGAGTGGAGCATGACGCCCAAAGACATTGTTGGAGGGGGTGTATGTGGCGGCGGTGGCAGCATTGCCTGTGGGCGGTTTTCATTTGTGCATGGCCTCAAGGGTCCTTGTATCAGTGTGGACGTGGAGGGAGCATCTTCGCTGGTGGCTGTGAATTATGCGAGCACAAATCTCTCCAAGACTGGCAACTGGGATCCAATTCCGTTTGCCTTGTGCAACTCCTGGAATCTCCAGCTTTCAGCAATGTCATTTATCCAGCTCTCTGCTTGCAAATTCCTCTCTCCACAGGGGCGCACATTTGCCTTCGACGCATCAGCCAGTGGCTACATTCGTGGCGATTGTGTCGTGTCTGTTGTGCTGAAAGCCTTGCAAGTGGAGGATGGCGAGGTCCAGAGTGAGGATAAGCAGTATGGACACTTGGTTGGGAGCGCAACCAACCAGAGTGGCAGGAGATGCGCCATGTCTGCTCCAGACTGCCTTGCATTGCAAGAGGTGATTCACGAGACTGTGCGGCAGACACAGATTTCACCCCTAGATGTAGATGCAGTGGAAAGCTTTGCGGACGGAAAGATCTTGGATGATTGCCTTGAGGCTACTGCCCTGGCTCGGGCCTACAGACCACAGGGAACTTTGCATGTGGATGGGTCTGCCCCGCTTGGAATCAGTTCATCCAAATCTGGAGCCGGGAACCAGTTGGAGGCAATGGGACTCTCCCAGATAGTAAAGATCATCCTGGCTGCACGTGTGGGCTCAACCCAGCCATTCCCACATTTGAGGATTGTCAATCCTCACGTAGACCTGGAAATGTGTGATCGGAATGCCATACTTCTGAGTGAGACGGTAAGTTTCCGATTGCCATCAGCATTCACTGGCATTCTGAACCGAAGCGTCGGGGGAACCAACTGCCACAGCATTCTGTTTGCCAAGGTGCCTGAAGCGAACTACACGCCAAGCAAGGCAATTGAATCCAAGCCGCAGCTGATCCAACCATTGCTGTTCTGGCCGAGTGGAGGTGGTGCACTGGCAGAGGATATGCTTCCGAAGATGGGGTATAGCATTATGGGAACCTTCAACAGGTGGCGCCCCCAACCAATGGAGACTGAGGGTCCAGGTGTGTTTGCTTTCACCATCATCCTCAGTGAAAACAGGTGGGAACGCTTCCAGATAGCTTTGGATGGCGACCCTGCTCGAGTCCTCCATCCAGTGTTGGTGGAGGGCGATGCGTGCTGCCCTGTGGCTGGACCTGAAGCTGCTCTGCAAGTGCTGAGTTGGCAGATTGATGGGCGATCCAGAAGACCAAGATTGGTGGATGCGGATTCCGACATGAACCGACCTGCTGGAGGTGCATGGCATGCTATAGTTCCTGATGCTCCCCCAGATGATGATGACCTTGTGGCCTTGCCTGGAGACAAGTTCAAGATTCGTTTACACTTGCAGGGACGATGGAGAATGGTTGATTGGGAGAAGCTTCCACAGGTTCCAACTGAGGATACTCCTGCAGAGAGAGCTTTCCAAGCAAGCTTGTGTGGCCTTGTCGGAACGTACCAGGTTGCCGGCAGCTGGAATCTCTTTGAAATGCAGGCCATGAAGCCAGAGCCATCTCAGCGCAAAACACATTGTGTTGATGTCCTGCTTTCACGTGATGGAGAGCAGCACTTCCACTTGCTTCGAAATGAAGATCGCAACCAGGTCATTGGTCCACAAACTTCTTTGTCTCGAAGCCCTGGAAGTGCGGTCTTAAGTGCCTGGAACCAGCGATCTCCTCTTCATCATTGGGTATTCTATGGACTCGCCGGGGATGTGTTCAGAATAGAGTTCGATCGAACACAGGATGAGATGCAGGTGAGATGGAACAAGCTCGAGAGTGGGAAAGCAGTGCCAGAGGAAATCACATTGATGCACCTCCGCAAAAAGTACATGGTGAGGCTTTGCTTTGATAGCTGGAGCAACCATTTCTACCAAATGTTCTGGGCAGGCGAATACTACCAACTCTTTGTGGAGCTCAATGAGCTGGCCAAGGCTAGCTTCTTGATCTACGAGGAGGGAAGTCCATCACGATGCATCTATCCGCCCGTCAAAGATGCCAACCCATATCAGGAACCAAAAGAATTGCGAGGCCCTGGCACCTTAGATGGCGAAAGCTATTTCTGGACCATCGGTGCAGAGGAAGACAAACCAGCTCTTGGAAGTCGCTATGAGATACGACTTCATGTGGACTCAGAGAGCAAGGTGCCCATGAAAGTGGACTGGATTGCAGTGAAGTCAACCAATGGCCTGGAGGAGGCTGCAGCAAAGGGCTACTTCGTGGGATGGCTACCAGCAATGGTTGGATTTTGAGGGTCGTCCGCCACATGCATTTTCAAAATGGAGGGGCAATGTGAGTGGCAATAGGCCATGATCTTCCCGCACACATCTTAGCATTCTTATAAGCTCGTGCTCTTGCCTTGACAGCTTGTGTGTGTGTGCAAAAAGATTGCCCTGTCCTTCACGCGGAAATGCAGAAGCATTGGAGTCACTAGGCACGTTTTGCCAACCTTTCGGCACTCAAGCATTGAAGAGTCACCAAGCCTTTCAGATCCCTTGCAATGCTTTTCCTTCTAGACCGGCCTCAGCAGGCGCCCAGCGCAGATGGCCTGCAGTTTTTCACTCCAGGCGCCAGCATTATATATGTATATATATGCAGGGTGCCGCTGATTGATCTAGCATATAATATATACAAATTCAGACAGATGCTCGGGAAAGTCCACATCACGATCAGGCCCCGGCTTTGTGTAAAGAGATGTAAACTCAAGATGAGGTTGGATATATGGGGTCGTGACGCGATGTGCATTGTTATCCTTCGAACTGCCGACAGTTGCATTCCTATGCCAAAACGAAGGAGAAACTCCATGTTCCACCAATCGACCAGTCATAGGAAGTTTCATAGAAGCATTTTTTTGAGAATCTTCATCATTTGATTCTACAAGAACCCAACGCCATTTCAGTAGTAACAAGCTTGGACTTGAGCCTTCGATTGTTCCAGGACAGGCGCCTCAGGACGGGGGCTGAGGAGTTGTGTGTTTCTGCTTGAAAGGCACCTTTGTAATGCTATAGCACAGCTGTGGCAGCACTATGTCCCCACAACAGCGCAGGCAGAAGGACGACTGTTTTATTTTAAGCGCCTTGGGCAGTTGAACAGCCGCACCTGTTTCTCTTCCTTTTCCTCTATCTTCCGGATTTCATTCCTACCTGAGGCACAATTGTGAAAGTAGCTCTCTCTATATTGGTAACCTTAGTTTCTTAACATTAGCCAACTCCCCCACGATTCTTGACAGATGACACATGGATTACATAGAGTGTAGCGCATAGTTGACATTGCTTTTAAACACAAACATCTAGGAAACAAACGAAGCGCGTGAGCTATCCTGCGTGCAGTAGGTAGTAGCGTCTTCAGGACCTGATATAGAGCTACTATATAACTAGCTTAATAACCTCTACCAGCCTCTTCCCCTGAATAGTTAATATATGCATTTACAATCCATAGATATTGTTCTTAAAGTTGACGTGGTTTTCTGTGGGGGTCTCCGCGGATCGGCCAAGGCCTCGCCAGGCGAGGGGACAGAGAGTGCTTCTTGAAGAACGTGTGAAAGCTTGAAAGCTCCATGAAAGCTCTATGAATGTGTGTATATATAATCCTCTGCCGAATATCCTCTATAGAATCTGGGAGCTTGAGCTCAAAATGCCCCTCAGATTTTATAGACAGTTTTCTTATAGAATCAAATATCAACCTATCTGAAAAAACACCACATTTTAAACATGGGCTCCAAAAAAGTCAGTTTGTTCTCTCAACATGGGTGCCAACACTTGATTCTATAGCGAGGGCACGCCATGTCACCAGATTTTATAGAGGTCCTAACAATTGATTCTATAGAAAGCATCTGGAGTAGTACAAGGTTGAGAATTGATTTTAGAGTGGATGGTGTGCTGTGAGGTCAGGTCTATAAAATCAAGACCAACCTCTTGGGCCACATTCTTCCAACATGTTTATTTTAAAAAATCAGTTTCAACCTTCATGTGTGCGCGCACTTCTGTATAAAATCAAAGCCAACCTCTTGGGCCACATTTGTCAAATATTTTCCAAACCAATTTCAACCTTCATATGTCCCCACACTTCTCTATAGAATCAAAACCAACCTTGGCTATGCATCATTGATTTTCCAATTGTTTGCTATCAATTTTTCATGATGATGAACACCCATACCCTGAGCACTTGATTCTATAGAGAACAGGTTTCCAGCACTGCAGGAGGTTGATACTTGATTCTGTAGTGGGGCAAACTGCCCTCGGAGCCTGGTTTTCGTTTTATAACTATAACAATCAAATCTCAAGGTACAACGGTAATTCCACAAGGGATTGTGTGTGTATATATAATATATATATATTTGAATACATATTACTGTGTTTCTGCCAAAGCTTGTTTTTGGTCAAAGTTAGCCTAAGCAGAGTGTGAGCTTGAGGATCAACGTTGGTCGATTCGCGGGAGTCACCACGCTTTGGAGTTGTTGGTGTGATTACAGGCAGAGTATTTTGGTGTGAAAGGTGGCCCGAAAGCTCTCTTTTTGGAGACGGGTGGTCGGTTTTTTTGTTGAAACGTCAGATGATACGGGATCACAGCGACGCTGAGCGCCAGGTCACATGGGTCCTCAGACGGCAGGTCCTATCGGTGGTCCGATGGGTGGCCAAATTGGCGGCCCCATCGGTGGGCCGATTGGTGGACCCATTGGTGGACAAATGGGCGGCCCTTCCCAAGCGGGAAGCTTCCCGTAGCTTTGCTGCAAAGACTTCTTGACTGAACCCGTGAATCAAGGGTGATGACGACTCATAGATGTTTATGGCAAGTGTGGGCTGACTCAATTGATTACATTGGACATTGGATGTTACTCGAGGATCTCAATGGATTCAATCGATATCCGGTATGTAGTCTCAACATTTGCCGTTTGCAGGCCCCCCAATTACAGCTACGATGATGATCCTGACAATGAGCCGCCACTGTTAGAGGCGTCGAGGGACGTGGACAGAGATTGTTGGCGGAATAGATACATATGATAGATATGTGTATATATATAATATATGTGCATATTCATAGAACAGGACAAGTCAGTATGTAGTTTGGACAGCTTTGTCAAAGACCATTTATGATAGGGCTAGTGACTTCAAATGCAAGGGACAGTCCAAGTATTTTTTCTGCTTGCTGTAAATAGAAGTTGGCTTGCGAGTCGTGTGGTGCTATGACTGAAGTCTATGTGAGAGTTCAAGTTCTAGTACAGAAGTCAGGAGCTCGGCATCAATGTAGAGCACATTTTGCTGAGAATGCGGGGTGTTGCCCTCTTCAAGAAATTGGATGAGGACGGTGCTTGATGTTGCAGTGGGTATGCGCCAACTTGTGTGGTCATTATTTTGTGGCCACCTCCATTCTCTTCCCGCTTGTCACTGATCAACAAACGGAGGCACATGAGAATCTCACGCTCCAAAAGACTGACAGTTGCCCAACTCAAAATATATAATATGTATGCAAGGATCTTCAAGGAAATACTCTTACCTTTGGATGTGCCTGAGTGATGCAAGCCTTCAAACTACATGGACACATATTATACGAGTACAATAATCAGATACTTGATTAATTTGATACCGCCAAGCTGTTTTACCTTGCAGAAGAGCATTGCACAGCAACATCATGTGCGTTGAGGCCGACTTTGCGACTCCCAAACTCCAGTTTGTCAGGTGGTTTGCGACATTGGGAGGATACCCAAGATGGAACCAGAGCCTCCTGTCCGCTTCAACAGGAAGTTCTGAGAGATGCAGATCTCAGTGGACCTCTCATGATTTGCTTGACACTGGGCCCGATTACCCAGCAAAGACAGTTGTCCTCTTGAATCAGAGTCCTGTGGCTGGTGATTACCTGCTAGAGATCGAACACTGACATATGGAAACAAGATGAAACAACTGTGAGTAGACCCACAGATAGAGAATGAGAGAGCGGGAAGTCCTCAGCAAACGGCAAATGTATGTGTTGATGATAATTCTGTCCTCTCGATTGGATGTAAGTTTGCTGATTTCGACACCTGTTGATTCAATCACCAACAAGCATGTTTGAATGCCTTTCAATTTCCCTGTGCTTGTCCTTGTTGGTGATTGGTATTTAGGCCTAGCCTTGCTACTGGCGGGCAAATTGCAATTTGGGTGCGCTGCGGTGCTGAATGTTGATTCGTTGAAGTTGACGACACTCAAACCTGAAAAGAGACATTGACTAGGGCGACCGTCTTGTTTAGTCCAGACTAGCAAGTTCAGCATGCGTCCAGCAGGAACATGCAATTGTCGGCTTCCTTCGCCTCCACAATTCCCTAGCCATGGCGTGGGGATTGAAGCTTTCTCAGAGATTCCTCGGAGCCCCGTGCCCTGAATGAGGTACGTTTATGGTCTTGCCGCGGGTGGCTCTTTTAGCATTTGTTGCCTCATCAACGTGATGAGCCAGAAAGAAGGCCGGCGTTGTGCAGAGCAGAATACCGTCGTGCCGTTAGCCTCCTGCACTTTTGCTCTATCACTGAATCTGTGCCAGAAGTTTTGCCAACAAGCTCCAGGCATTGACCTCTACAGCACCATGAGCATCTTGGGCTATGGGCCCCTTGGCTTGATGGATTTGCTGGTTCAAGAACTCGCTCATCAGAGCTCCAACAATTCTTGGCCTTTGTTTGTTTTTTCAAAGATTAAACACACCATATAGTATGTATGTATGTATGTCACATGAAGTCTTGAGCAGTTTGGCGAAGCATCAGGCTGATTCCCATTGTCTTCTTGGCGCTCTTTGGCATTATCGTGTCCTTAAAGCATGGTGCTGAGTGCTGCACAAAATGGGGAATGCAGCGCAGTGCTTTTTGGAGGGTTGGGCAGCAGACAACTTCAGACTCGTATTTTGATTCTTGTAGAACGATGAACAACGAGGGTCGAGGGAGCTAAATCCACTCTTTCAGACAAGCTTAGTGACAGTGTGGGACAAACAATTTCAGCCTGTTAAAGCCGAGTGGGTTGGTGAAAACATATGAAACCATTGTCATGTTTGGCGACAATTACTTCTTGCAACGGTGTCGATCGCACTTGTGACTAATTAGGTGCTGCCTGGAGTCTTGGTATGCCACTGAATTTGGGGTTCCACATTCCTTGTAACTTGTAGAAATTGATCGTCTCATCTTGCTTTGCTCTTGATTCAACGACTCGTGCTCGTGGCTCCTGCAACGGATCCCTGAGCATTCGCATCCTATATACATGGGTCTACATTCGCATCTGAATATTCTGTGCCGTATTCGTCGGAGGTCCACATTTGGTAGCATCATGGCTGCCATTTGCATAGGCGTGCTACTGCCATTGGAGACTTGAGCGATCGCACAATGGGACTAGTGGCGTCCTTGCTCCTAGTAGCGATGCCAGGAGCCCCTAGTAGCGTCCTTGCTAGCGATGCCAGGAGCGCCTAGTAGCGTCCTTGCTCCTAGTAGTATGGCCAGGAGCCCCTAGTAGCATCCTTGCTCCTAGTAGTATGGCCAGGAGCCCCTAGTAGCGTCCTTGCTCCTAGTAGTATGGCCAGGAGCCCCTAGTAGCGTCCTTGCTCCTAGTAGCGATGCCAGGAGCCCCTAGTAGCGTCCTTGCTAGCGATGCCAGGAGCGCCTAGTAGCGTCCTTGCTCCTAGTAGTATGGCCAGGAGCCCCTAGTAGCATCCTTGCTCCTAGTAGTATGGCCAGGAGCCCCTAGTAGCGTCCTTGCTCCTAGTAGTATGGCCAGGAGCCCCTAGTAGCGTCCTTGCTCCTAGTAGTATGGCCAGGAGCCCCTAGTAGCATCCTTGCTCCTAGTAGTATGGCCAGGAGCCCCTAGTAGCCTCCTTGCTCCTAGTAGTATGGCCAGGAGCCCCTAGTAGCGTCCTTGC